AAGGTCCATTATAACAGTAAAACTGCATATGGGGTTAAGAGCCCATAAGCCTATTTTTAAAGGATTCAAAAGAAGAAAGAGATGCAGATAAACATGTTTGTACAGAAGTAAAGACAGAAGAAGAGAAAGGAGTAAGTGAAAGTGAAAGTGAATTTTAGCAAATTGATTTTTAATTTTTGCTTCTAGTATAGCTCAGTGTTTTTTCATTCAACAAATTTGTTGATTCCATAAGCATTTTTATCATTGATTATATTTATAGTTATATACCAGATTAATGTGTATCTGCTGTTTATGATCCAATGGATTTTTATGCGATTCCATGAGGAAAGGATAGGAAGGAAGGGGAGGTTTTGAACCGTACAGAGTTTCTGATATAGAATTTTAGGTAAGGAACTATGGGCTTCAAGAATTTAAAATTTTTTTTTTTAAAATTAAAATCCGGTTTTTAGTACCATATGCCAAGTGGAGATCATTTTAATATTAATTTCTATTTCTTTGATTTTTTTATGCTGATACTGAATTCATGAATGACTTTTTTTGGAAAACATCAGGCTTGTATGAATCGGGGTTGTGGTAAGCAATACGCATGCTAATATATATGTAAAAGTTGAATTATGCGGGTGAACAATATTACCAAGATCCAGTGATGGGGACATGGAAAGGGCTTGAGCATCAACCGGTGACAATCATTACAATTTTTACTACGGTTGATTTTTCAAATAATAACTTTCGTGGAGAGATTCGAGAAGAAATTGGAAAGTTTCATGCACTTCGTCTCCTCAATTTTTTCTCAAAACAATCTGACAGGTTGCATCCCATTGTTACTAGGAAGTTTGATTGCTCTTGAGTCCTCAGACCTTTCTTCAAATAAGCTTGCTGGGAAAATCCCGTGGCACTTGACAAGATTGAATTTTCTTCAAGTTCTAAATTTGTCAACAAACCAGCTTAGCGGACCCATAACTCAAGACAACCACTTCGATACGTTCCCAAATGATTCATATGGTGGGCACTTGGCATTGTGTGGATTTCCTATCTCAAATAAATGAGTTACTGATAATGAGACCCAGCAACCACCTTCAACATCAGAAGATGATGCAGAGTCTTGAAATGGATTCGGTTGGAAAGTTGTGTTGATACGTTTGCTTTTGTGGATTAATTCATCGTCGCGCATGAATCTACATAAACCACGTATTAAGTATGTGTTCTGCCAACGAGAATACTATACGTTAGGCAGGCGGGCAGACCCCTTTTTTATGGTGATTACAGATGTTTGACATGGATATTATTAATCGTGCAGTTGATAAGATGAACAATGTACAACCTTAATTTGGTTATCAAACAAAATTTTAGTTATTTAATTATGGATAATTAAGCTTACTTTAAGAAGAAGAAAGTTTAATCAGGATGGTGATAATCTGATAGATGTTACACTTGCCGTGCAGTGTGTAACTTCTGGGTACGTGAAGATTGGGTACAGGACTCCTCCAGTAATTTAATTAGCATAAAGTCTTGGTCTTACTACAAGAAAACAATAATGTCTGCATTAAATCTATTCTATAACTCTCATTCGCATACAATTCATTTTAAAAATAAAAAGAAGAACCTTCTTGAAGTCACTTCCTTAGTTGTAATCTCTTATCTCTAGTATATGGTATATATTTATATCATCTTGTTTCTTGATTTTTTAGTGATTTATTATTATTATTATTATTTTTTAAACGTGGGAAAACTCTAGTAATTTACACCTAAGAAGTCTTGGTCGATGTTATAGAGTTCAAATATCATTTATCAAGTGGCTCCAGAGCAATTAAGAAGTGGGATACCATGAGCTTCTAAATCAAATTGGCATGGGGCCATAAATGGAAGAAGACAAGGGAAATGGAAATTAATATAGGATTGTGATGGTAAGATGATAAAGATTTATTAAATATCATCCATTCTTTCTTCATTCTCTGCTGGAGTCATTGACAATTATGGTTTACATATCTTGAGAATGATAGCTTGTTCTTTAGCTCTTGCAGTGTAGAGCGGGCTATAAGACTTTTCCAATAATTTAATTATAAGTCTTGGTCTACTAACTAGAAAACAATAATTTCTAGGCTAATTTCCAATCTCACTTTCTGACTTGATTTATGTGCACTAATTGTTTTATACAGAAAAATTATATTGAGAAAATATGATTTGAACAGTACAAGTGGCACACCGAAGCAAAAGTGGAAATGATCATAGATGTTGTGAAAGAGAATATAGATGTTTTTAAGATGATAAGCTTGACATATATATGGTTAATGTTACTGCTTGAAATTCAGTACACAATTCTTTTTTGTATTTCCCTTGTTTTTATCTATTTTCTGAGTTAAAGGCTACATTTCTATGACTGCAAATGTTTATGAACTTAAAATTTTGAAGGTAAACAGTTGAACATTATCTCATTATTAACATTTGATTCTAAGCTAGATCATGTTGGATGATGGCTTGAAACGCTGTCGTATTTGCACTTAAATGGAACGACGTCGCTTTGATCTAAACGACAGAAACAATCTTGAGCGTTGATGAAAAGAAGATCCAACGGCTGAAATTCAACCCTAATGTCAACCATATAAAAGCAGAATTATTTTGGCAGTTTATGCATTCGATTCATTTTTCATTTTATACAAGTCTCTCTCTTCTTCGTTAAAAACCATCTTTGAGCCTTTAGGGTTTTCAATTGGGGTTGAGTGGATCCTGTAACTTGTTGATTGAGTGACTGGGTCAAGTCATTCTGGGTGTATTGTATACGCTGTATTTAGGGATTCGAAGGGTGTAATCTCTAGGGTGAGTTATGGGTTGAAGAAGGGGGTTTTGAGGGATTTATGTTGCTGTGTGTGTAATCTGTAATCTTGACAGTATTAGTGCAGCGAGTTCGTGTGATTCTCGAGTTCAATGTGGACGTAGCTTGCTCAAATATAGAGCAAGTGAACCACGGTAAATCTGGTTGTTCTTGTGTGTGTTTGGTGTGATTCTTGTTCTTGATCTGTTGCTATTTTGGTTGATTCTTTCTGTGAGTAGTTATAACAGATCACAAAAGTCATTTTCCAAGTGGTGCCAAAGTAATTAATTCTGGAATCTTATTATTGACTGGGGTGCTGATGGAGATATGTTATGCAGGAATTAATGCTGTTTAATATTCTTTGTTTTAATTTATAGCTTTTGGTCTTAAGCTCATGTAGTGGGGAATGGGTTACATGACTTCTCCAATAATTTAAACATAAGTCTGTGTCTACTATCTAGAAACAATAATGTTTTATAAAGAAAATCAGCTTTGTCTCCAATAATTTTAGAATTTTTTATTATTATTAAAATCCGTTTTTTAGTACCATATGCCAAGTGGAGATCATTTTGATATAAACTTCTATTTCTTTGATTTTTTTTTTTTTTTTTTTTTTTTTTTTTTTTTTTTTTTGATACTAAATTCATGAATGACTTTGTTGGAAAACATTAGGCTTGTACGAATCAGGGTTGTGGTAAGCAATAAGCATGCTATTATATACGTAAGTTGAATTATGTGGGTGAACAATATTACCAAGATTCTGTGATGCTGACATGGAAAGGGCTTGAGCTTCAACCGGTGACAATCATTCCAATTTTTACTACCGTTGATTTTTTAAATAACAACTTTTGTGGAGAGATTCCAGGAGAAATTGGAAAGTTTCATGCACTTCGTCTCTTCAATTTTTTCTCAAAACAATCTGACAGGTTGCATCCCATTGTTACTAGGAAATTTGATTGCTCTTGAGTCCTCAGACCTTTCTTCAAATAAGCTTGCTGGGAAAATCCCGTGGCAGTTGATAAGATTGAATTTTCTTCAAGTTCTAAATTTGTCAACAAACCAGCTTAGCGGACGCATACCTCAAGACAACCACTTTGATACGTTCCCAAATAATTCATATGGTGGGAACTTGGCATTGTGTGGATTTCTTTTGTCAAATAAATAAGGCACTGATAATGAGACCCAGCAACCACCATCAACATCAGAAGGTGATGCAGAGTCTTGAAATGGATTCGGTTGGAAAGTTGTGTTGATAGGCTTTGGACGTGGAATTGTGTTTGGATTATTCATGGGATATCTTGTGTTCTCAACAGAAAAGCCTTAGTGGGTTGTAATGATGGTTGAAGATGAACACCCTACAAAAAACGTGGGTGAAGAAGAAATTAGTGGATCCAAGAAGTTCTGTTGGGCGAGTATTGTTGCAAACTAGTGATGCAATGTAGGTCTACACTTCATCTTCTTCATCTTTAATTTCTTTTGTTTAATCAGTGCAAGCAATCAATTACTATGTAGTACATCCTTAAATAATATGTCAGAATAGCTAATTTCTTCAAATTACAGATTTTTATTGGTTAATCTCGTGCACTCTGATGGTTAATACTAGCATGGTTTGGATGCTAACAATAAGTTCATGTTCAACTCACTACCATAGAAAATTAATCCTTGTAGAACTGAGAATTTATAAGATATGAGTGACTGGCAATGTAGATGTTGGTAATTTGTCATCAAAAGAGAGCCTTGGTCAGCTGCCATGAGATCGTAGACAATTCTCAATAATACTATTGCAATATTAGTCCTCATTGAATGAGACTGAAAGCAATCTATAACTGTTTCATAATTAATACCACAACCCCACTTTTAAATTCAAACAATTCTGAACCTTAGGAAGTTGTAAATGATATTTCATAAATCTTTATCGTCGTACCATCACAATCCTGTATTCCCTTATCTTTCTCCATTATGGCCCCATGCCAATTTGATTTAGAAGCTCATGGTATCCCACTTCTTAATTGCTCTGGAGCCACTTGATAAATGATATTTGAACTCTATAACGTCGACCAAGACTTCTTAGGTGTAAATTACTAGAGTTTTCCCTCATTTAATTGATGATTTTAGCACAGTACTCATTCTTCATTCTCTTGATCTATTTATACTGACATTTGTTCTTGTTATTTCATACCAGAGATTAATAATGAGTTGCTTAACATGGTCTTTTAAACTTTTCTGTGCCTTCCTCTCATTGTTCTTGTTTCCACTAGCCTATGGAGAACTGTGCTCTTCTGATCAGATTTCTGCATTGCTTCAATTTAAGCAACTCTTTTCCTTCACAAATGGTTCTTCCTTCAATTGTGATTCTTTCCCAGACCAACCCGTTTGTCAAGGAGTGTGTCCTTCTTCTTCAAAAATAATGTCCTGGAAGGAGGATACTGATTGTTGCTCATGGGATGGTGTTACTTGTGATAGGGTGACTGGTCACGTGATTGGTCTCGACCTTAGTTGCAGCTGGCTTCTTGGTAACATCCCTTCCAACAGTAGCCTCTTTCTTCTCCCTCATCTGCAAAGCCTGAACCTCGCTTTCAATGATTTCAGTTCCTCTCACATATCTTCGAGTTTTAATCGCTTCCCAAATTTAACACACCTTAACCTCTCTACCGCAAACTTTTTTGATCAAGTTCCATTTGAAATCTCCCATTTGTCTAAGTTAGTTTCACTTGACCTCTCTAACAATTATGTAATCCTTGAAACACCAGCCTTGAGAGGACTAGTTCAAAATTTGACCAACTTAAGAGAGTTAATCCTTGATCAGGTAGACATGTCTACCGTATCACCTCATTCCTTGTCAAATCTATCTTCTTCTTTGGCATCTTTGAGTCTTGGATCTTGTTTATTGAAAGGGCGTTTTCCAGACAACATCTTCCACCAACCAAACCTGCAAAAACTCAATTTAGGATTTAACATCAATTTGACAGGTGTTTTTCCGAAGAGTAACTGGAGCAGCCCACTCAGCTTTGTGAATGTCTCTTTCACAAACTTTGATGGAGAATTATCCGATGATGCAATCAGCTCTCTCAAGTTCTTGAACACTTTGGATCTCTACTACTGTCATTTCAATGGCTCGATTCCTGCTTCACTTGGTAATCTTACCAAACTTGCTTATTTGGACCTAGCATATAACTATTTCACAGGTTCTATCCCATCCTCACTTTCCAATCTTGAGCACCTGCGTCATCTAACTTTAAGAGACAACAGTCTCACTGGTGAAATTCCTGATATATTTTTCAACTTAACCCAGCTTTCTTTATTTGAAGTGTCCTGGAATCGACTATCCGGTCCAATTCCTACTCATGCAAGTCGGCTCAAAAATCTGGTCACTCTCTCTTTAGGTTCCAACTTACTCAATGGGACAATACCATCCGGGCTATATACTCTTCCATTATTAAACAACATCGACCTGAGTTGCAACCAGCTAACGGGTAACATTGAAAAATTTCAGAACTCATTGCGAGTCATCCAGTTAAATAATAATGGGCTGAATGGTTCAATTCCAAATTCAATCTTTGAGCTTGAGAATCTGACTGATCTTGTACTTTCTTCAAACAATTTGAGTGGTGTTCTAGAGCTTTACATGTTTGCAAAGCTGGAAAACCTTCAAATTCTTGATCTTTCTCAAAACAGTCTGTCATTGAGCACCGCATTTAAAGCCAATTCTTCCTTTCCTAAACTTTATAGGTTAGGACTATCTTTTTGCAACATCAGAGAGTTCCCATACATCTTGAGAGGTCAAAACCAACTGAATAGTTTGGAACTTTCTGCGAACAAAATCCGGGGTGAGATTCCCGCATGGTTATGGGAATTGGGAATGGGTAACTTGACTTTTCTAAATCTTTCCCACAACTCTCTGAAAGGTGTCGGGCAGTTTCCAGGTGTAGGGCAGCTTCCATGGAATCTCCAATATCTTGACCTACATTCCAACTTCATTGAAGGATCCCTTCCAATTCCACCATTTGGCATGACACTGTTTTTGATGTCAAACAATAAACTGTCAGGTGAAATACCTCGGTCAATTTGCGATATCGGCACTATTGAAGTTCTTGATCTTTCTTACAACAATTTGAGTGGCAAAATTCCAGAATGTCTGGGAAACTTTAGCATCAATCTTCATGTATTGGATTTGCGGAAGAACATATTGCATGGAAAAATTCCTGGAACATTTACAGAGGGCAGTAATTTGAGAACACTTAACTTGAATTACAATGGATTAGAAGGACCAGTCCCACGCTCTCTGATCAACTGTGCACTGCTTGAAATTCTAGATCTTGGAAACAACAAAATAAATGATACTTTCCCGTATTGGCTGGAAAATCTTTCAAAATTGCAGGTACTTGTTCTTCGTTCCAACAACTTTTATGGTTCTGTATGGCATTCTTCTGATCGTGATAATAGCTGTTTCCCTATGTTGAGAATCTTTGATCTCTCAAGCAACAGATTTAGCGGTCCTTTGCCTACAAGGTACTTTGAAAATCTAAATGCTATGATGATTAACGGCGAATCCATAAAGAAGTTGAATTACATGGGTGAAAAGTTGTATTATCAAGATTCTGTGGAGGTGACGCTAAAAGGCAGGGATATCATACTAGAGAAAATAATTACCACTTTTACATCCATTGATTTTTCACAGAATTACTTCGACGGAGAGATTCCAAAAGTAATCGGAGAGCTTCAGTCACTTCGACTCCTGAACCTTTCCCGTAACAGTCTAAAAGGCCTTATACCTTCATCATTAGGAAATTTGACCCTTCTCGAATCTTTAGACTTATCTTCAAACAAGCTTGTTGGACATATTCCATCACAGTTGGTAAGCTTGACTTTTCTTTCAAAGTTAAACCTCTCACAAAACCAACTTGTGGGACTTATTCCTCAAGGAAACCAGTTTAATACCTTCTCAAATGATTCATTCGGTGGCAACTTGGGATTATGCGGACTTCCATTGATGAAAAAATGTGAAGAGCCATCATCATCGGTATTCCATGATGACGAAGACCACAATAAGTCAAACCGTTTCAATTGGAAAGTCATTATGACGGGTTATGGATGCGGTCTGTTGCTCGGCTTGTTTATCGGATATACTGTTTTTTCTACAGGAAAGCCACAGTGGTTTCTAAGGATGATTAAAAGCATTCTTGGAAAATCTGAATAGAAGATGCAAAGGAATGTTTGAAAGAGGCCAAGCGGGAATGATGCTCTAACTGGGGTGAGTACTGTTCCAATCTTCTTTATAAACAACGGTGTGCGTTTTTTTTTTTTTTTTTTTTTTTAAATGCCAATTTCGGAAAATTATTTGATCACCAGAAACTCGAAAAACTATCATCACTCATCAGTTTCCTTTTGTTCTTTTCAGATATTCATGTATGATTCTACGGTCTGTGAGAGCACGATTGAGAAGAAACCCTATATATGCAAGAGTTAGAATTGCTACAGTAGATGATGTTGCTCTTGGACTTCAATATATATGATGTCGATGAGATGAGTATTTAATAAAGAGTTACGTAATTGCCAGAGTTTAATAAGATTTTTAGAATGTTAATTTGATGAGCCATTGAATGAGTTGAATGATTTTTAGAAGATAACAAGCCATGCATATATATAGCCAGAACTCATGCCCTCTAGCTAGCTCCTGAATCTTGCCCTGTTTCTTGTATCTATATATGGATTTCTTAACTACTTTACAATTATAAAAATTAAGTTACAAAGTAATTTAATTTGCTGCATATATATAGAGTACCAATTATAAAAAAACTGTCAGTTTAGTAAAATTTCGCAACATTTAGAACATTTAATTTACTGCATATAAACCTTAATTACAACTATACTGTGTTTAAATAAGATGATATAAATATAAACCATATATATACTAGAGATATGAGATTATTATCTCAACTAATCCCTCGGAATCTTAGAACTACCGTTCGGATACAAGTTCTAGGCCATCTCCGATTAGGAGTTGCGGGATTTGAACTTGGAAGATTATGTAAACTTAGATCGTCCTTTGCTCTTTTACTATCAAGTCATCCAGTGGAGATTACTAATGAATGTCAATAAGAACATGAGAGTGGAGTTAATATAGACATCATTGTTTTCTAATTATTAGTAGACCAAGACTTTGTGCTTATTAAATTATTGATGAGGCTTATGACCCATTCTCCACTGCATGAACTGAACAACAAACTATATTAATAGTAGTCAAGGCACGTGAAATTCAAGTTTGTCTTTGCCGAAGAAAATCGATATATATGGTAAGGACTATTGAAGTTTTGTAGCCCATTGCTCACTGCATGACATGACCCTACGAACAAAAGCCATAATTTTCAAGATCTATANTGCATGGAAAAATTCCTGGAACATTTACAGAGGGCAGTAATTTGAGAACACTTAACTTGAATTACAATGGATTAGAAGGACCAGTCCCACGCTCTCTGATCAACTGTGCACTGCTTGAAATTCTAGATCTTGGAAACAACAAAATAAATGATACTTTCCCGTATTGGCTGGAAAATCTTTCAAAATTGCAGGTACTTGTTCTTCGTTCCAACAACTTTTATGGTTCTGTATGGCATTCTTCTGATCGTGATAATAGCTGTTTCCCTATGTTGAGAATCTTTGATCTCTCAAGCAACAGATTTAGCGGTCCTTTGCCTACAAGGTACTTTGAAAATCTAAATGCTATGATGATTAACGGCGAATCCATAAAGAAGTTGAATTACATGGGTGAAAAGTTGTATTATCAAGATTCTGTGGAGGTGACGCTAAAAGGCAGGGATATCATACTAGAGAAAATAATTACCACTTTTACATCCATTGATTTTTCACAGAATTACTTCGACGGAGAGATTCCAAAAGTAATCGGAGAGCTTCAGTCACTTCGACTCCTGAACCTTTCCCGTAACAGTCTAAAAGGCCTTATACCTTCATCATTAGGAAATTTGACCCTTCTCGAATCTTTAGACTTATCTTCAAACAAGCTTGTTGGACATATTCCATCACAGTTGGTAAGCTTGACTTTTCTTTCAAAGTTAAACCTTTCACAAAACCAACTTGTGGGACTTATTCCTCAAGGAAACCAGTTTAATACCTTCTCAAATGATTCATTCGGTGGCAACTTGGGATTATGCGGACTTCCATTGATGAAAAAATGTGAAGAGCCATCATCATCGGTATTCCATGATGACGAAGACCACAATAAGTCAAACCGTTTCAATTGGAAAGTCATTATGACGGGTTATGGATGCGGTCTGTTGCTCGGCTTGTTTATCGGATATACTGTTTTTTCTACAGGAAAGCCACAGTGGTTTCTAAGGATGATTAAAAGCATTCTTGGAAAATCTGAATAGAAGATGCAAAGGAATGTTTGAAAGAGGCCAAGCGGGAATGATGCTCTAACTGGGGTGAGTACTGTTCCAATCTTCTTTATAAACAACGGTGTGCGTTTTTTTTTTTTTTTTTTTTTTTAAATGCCAATTTCGGAAAATTATTTGATCACCAGAAACTCGAAAAACTATCATCACTCATCAGTTTCCTTTTGTTCTTTTCAGATATTCATGTATGATTCTACGGTCTGTGAGAGCACGATTGAGAAGAAACCCTATATATGCAAGAGTTAGAATTGCTACAGTAGATGATGTTGCTCTTGGACTTCAATATATATGATGTCGATGAGATGAGTATTTAATAAAGAGTTACGTAATTGCCAGAGTTTAATAAGATTTTTAGAATGTTAATTTGATGAGCCATTGAATGAGTTGAATGATTTTTAGAAGATAACAAGCCATGCATATATATAGCCAGAACTCATGCCCTCTAGCTAGCTCCTGAATCTTGCCCTGTTTCTTGTATCTATATATGGATTTCTTAACTACTTTACAATTATAAAAATTAAGTTACAAAGTAATTTAATTTGCTGCATATATATAGAGTACCAATTATAAAAAAACTGTCAGTTTAGTAAAATTTCGCAACATTTAGAACATTTAATTTACTGCATATAAACCTTAATTACAACTATACTGTGTTTAAATAAGATGATATAAATATAAACCATATATATACTAGAGATATGAGATTATTATCTCAACTAATCCCTCGGAATCTTAGAACTACCGTTCGGATACAAGTTCTAGGCCATCTCCGATTAGGAGTTGCGGGATTTGAACTTGGAAGATTATGTAAACTTAGATCGTCCTTTGCTCTTTTACTATCAAGTCATCCAGTGGAGATTACTAATGAATGTCAATAAGAACATGAGAGTGGAGTTAATATAGACATCATTGTTTTCTAATTATTAGTAGACCAAGACTTTGTGCTTATTAAATTATTGATGAGGCTTATGACCCATTCTCCACTGCATGAACTGAACAACAAACTATATTAATAGTAGTCAAGGCACGTGAAATTCAAGTTTGTCTTTGCCGAAGAAAATCGATATATATGGTAAGGACTATTGAAGTTTTGTAGCCCATTGCTCACTGCATGACATGACCCTACGAACAAAAGCCATAATTTTCAAGATCTATATGTAAACATTAAGTTTGTGTTTGCGTAAGAAGACCGAGAGTGAAGCAGAAGATGAATATACAATGTAATCAAAACACTCACAGTAATTTTATTTGCATTACTAATTATACTGCAGTATGCATAAGCCTATTTGCAGTATCAAATATTAAGTCATAGAATTTGTCATCAGTTATCCGAGTAACCATTATGCATGATGGCCGCTATACTTAAAAATATAGGTTTCTATGCGTTTGAGAAAATAAAATAAAAATATATCTTCATTAATTGCGTGGAAAATGATATTGCTTTGGCACCAGTTCAAGAAACACTTTTCTTCAAAAACACTTCTTCCTTTTGTGATGAATCTTATTAAAAAATGAAGTCTTGGCAAGATGATATTGATTGTTGCTTATGTGATTGGCCTTGACCTTAGCTGTAGTTGGCTTTTTGGCAATATCCCATCCAACACTAGCCTCTTTCACCTTCCTCAATTAAAAACACTCAATCTAGCTTACAATGATTTCAACCTCTCTCCAATTTCTTATGGATTTGACCGATTGCTTAGTTTGACGCACCTTAATCTCTCTGTCTAAAACTTTAGTGATCATATTTCGTTTGAAATCTCCCATTTGTCTAAATTAGTTTTACTTGACCTCTCATTCAATTATCACATGGAGAAGAAGAATTTGATAATTGAAATGCTTGTTTCGGAAAGGCTAGTTCAAAATCTAATAGTGCTAACAGATCTTACTCTTGACAAGATGGACATGTTTGCCACCGTACCTACTTCATTGACGAATCTATCTCTGTCTCTGACTTCTCTAAGTCTCTGGCTCTGTGAATTGCAAGGGAACTTCCTAGAATGCATCTTCCACCTACCAAATCTGCAGATCCTTACATTAGGAGATAATTTCGACTTGACAATTAGTTTTTCCAGAGTTAATTGGAGTAGCCCACTCAAGTTTTTGGAGGTCTCTGACATGTACTTGTCAGAAAAATTACCTAATTCAATCGACAATCTCATGTCCTTAAGCTATATATTTGAATCTCTGTAATTGCACTCTTGTTGGGTCAGTTCTTACCTTACTCGGTAACCTTACACAACTTAATCATTTGGACCTCTCATTTAACAATACTATTCACACTCCATCCTCTCTTTCAAATCTTTACGATCTCACTTATTTAGATCTTTCAGAAATAATTTCATTAATGGTGCAATTCCACATTCTTTTGTCAACCTTACACAACTTTCCTCATTACATATCTCAAGGAGTAAACTAGTTGGTCCAATTCCTGATACTTTTTTCAATCTAAAACAGCTTTCTTCATTAGATTTCTCATATAATCAACTGGCCAGTCGAATTCCAAATACTCTTTTCAATCTAAGAGAACTTTCTTTTTTATTTCTCATCTAATCAACTATCTGGTCCAATTCCTTGTCATGTAAGTGGGCCTCCAAATTTAAAATTTCTTAAGTTATTTAACTCCCTCAATGGGACTATATCATCTTAGTTATTTACTTTACCATTATTATACTAGATGGATCTCAGTTATAACAAATTAAGTGGTCACATCGATGAGTTTTGGAGTAATTAAGTGGCATTGATCCACTATTGACCCAACGTTAAACTGTGTTGACTGACAATAATTTTTTTTTTTTTTTTAGTTAGAATAACTATATTCAAAGTAAAAAGTAAATAAATATATTTTTATTATTATTTATATAGTTAGTTTTTGTATTTATTATATACAAAATTAGTTTTTTAATTAAAATACAATAATAATTTTTAACTTAGAATTCAAAACACAAACATGAAGAACGAGATCACCAATCCTAAAGCAAAAAGTAAAAGATATTTCAAGTACAAAGACCCCAAAGAAAAAATATAATCCAAAACGTTAGATTAACCCTTTCTTAACGATGATTAGACCCGTCGTTAACTAGTGGGAGTTAGATTTGCCGTTAATAACAGTCGTTTGACTACCGTTACATGACGGATGCTTGTTCGATGTTAATTAACGAACGTTAGATTTGCTGTTAACTAGTGGATGTATGTTAACGGACATTACCTTGAGCTTTAACAAGTAGTCATTATCTTGACCGTTATCAAACAGGCGTTTCCGTTGTGGTGCCGTCACTTTCTTCTATTTCTATGGCCCAACACCAACTGAAATCTAAACCTATCTGAACTTGTTTCGTTGATCTTTCTGATAGTTTTGCCCTTGGATCTCCACAACTGAGCCACCATTTTCATCTTCATGGTGTGGATACGTTTTTAGTTCCACCTTGCTCTTTGGTGAACTTCGGTGATACTGGTCTACACAACAAGTTTCCAAAAGATGTTTTCCGCCTTACATTGCTGGAGAAGCTAAGTTTAACCGAAATGATTTCAGTTTCTTATAGTCTTTCTGGGACAAATATATCGCATGTTAATTTGGGTTATGAAGTACTTCAAGCTAGTGATGGTAAGCTAATATTAGATGGGAAGCCAAAATATTCTGCTCTATAAAATGCCCCGTTACTGGTATACAAGCTGTAATAGTACTCAGCTGTAATTGAAGTTGTCTCCATTTCTTGATACTGGTATACAAGCTGTAATAGTAAGGGCACACCCCACGACTCATGGGAATTTTCAGTCGATTAGTGAAATAAAGAACTTCGTACCATATATTTTAATTTATCTTTGAGTTGGAAGTCACTATGGTGGGCTACCAATGTGGATTCCCAACCAGAAAGTGATAATGAGCAATACAGGGATTATGAATCTACGCCCTCTGCCTCATGATTTTCTTTTCTCAAGTAAAATCAATTTTGATTCATTCAGAAAATTATCAAAATTTGGTCTGGATGTCACTCATAAATTATATTCATAAACATCTCCAATTTGTGGAGAACGGAATGCATAAAACATAGTAGTGTTTTGTGGTACCACACAGTTTAAATCATATACAGTATATGCTAAAGAGATTACAACCTAGAATGTGCTTTGAGCAGCAACACAGTGATTCCAACTTCTTCTCTAAGTCAAAATTTTGACAGCCAGAGAGAGAAGGAGAATAGTTGAAATAAAATATGATAGTGTTCAAAGACAAACGAAGAAAAAAATAATCATTTAAGAACTGTTGTCCATTAGCTAGTGCATGACCAAGACTTTGATTGAGTAGTTCTCAGTTCTCACTAGTGGATGACCAAGACATGGTTTTATACCTCTAGAGTCATTATTATACATCAATTCGGCTTTGAATTTGGTAATTAATTTAATTTACATTACTACAAGCTTCATTTTGATTCGCATGGAAATTCTTACTGTCAATTAAAACAAACATTGAAGAACATACATTAGAGAGAGAAATTGTAAGGTTTTTCATACTCACTGCTTGTCTTTACTCCTTTTATCAGGTTCTGCAGATAAAAGTATCAAGCATATAGCTCATAAAGTTTATTGATAGACGTTGGATGTAGAAATGGAGGCTTAAAATTAAGTAGAATAGTGCTGCTAGATTATGTTTATATTGACTTTGTCTCCACATTCATCACGTTTTGAAACTTAAAGTTGGTCTTCTTTGGTGACATTTAAAGCCACCATTGGAGACACAATTTGTGCTTAATGTCTCTTAAACAATTTCTAATATTTTCAAGCTAAACTAGTGGCTCCATGGTCTTAATTCCAGATTTTTGGTTCCGCAATTTTTGAAATGCAACGACCTCCAAAACAAAAATTCTATAAATATGGGCACCAATTGCAAGAGAAACATAAGTGAGTTATCACCAAATGTACACTCCATTTTCAATAAAATTCTTTTCCTATTTTGATCTCATGGATGTAGGCTAAAAGCCGAAACACATAAATTATTTTGTGTTTTGTGTGGGTTATTATTTTTTTTCCTATTGACATATAATTATTTTTCATCTTCCGGATTTGGCCTATCACAACATATAGGATCTTCCCAAACTGTTGGGATTCAAACCAATTTGAGGGTTAGAAAATGGTGTCCTGTTTGTTTGATTCGAATATTATATTGTGAAGAATTTCAATTTCTCGAAATGTTACAAGCATTTGATTTATCCACTAGTACCTCACTAATGGATGACCAATACTTGGTGGAGTAGACCTCAATGCATGACCAAGACTTTCCTCCATTCCCACATTAAATGAATTCTGAGCTGCAAATCGACTTTCCTTCTCTTTTTATTTATTTATATAATACATAGACATTTCATCTTCACTTCTCATCTCTCAGCACAATTTTAAGCTGTTTCTGTTTTGTTTTCTATCCAGTGAAAAACATGTGGAGTTTACTGTGGCACAATCTACTCCCCTGCCTCCTCTTCATGTACTTGAATTTTCGAGTTATTTTCTCTGTCTATTAATTCTTCTTCTCCTTCTACAAAACTTTGCTCCCCTGAACAAAGTCTTGCCTTACTCCATTTTAAGAACGCCTTTACAATTGATAATAGTTCTTATTATGATTGTGAAGAATATTCTCATCCTAAGACAAACTCCTGGAAAGAGAGTACTGATTGCTGCTCATGGGATGGAGTCACTTGTGATAGCTTCATAGGTCAAGTAATTGGCCTTGATCTTTCTTCTAGTTGGATCCATGGCGTTGTCTATGACAACAGTAGTCTCTTCCTCCTTCACCATCTCCAGAAGCTCAATCTAGCTTGTAATGATTTCATAGGATCCACTATCTCATCCAAGTTTGGTCAGTTCATGAAACTGACACATCTTAACCTTTCTTTCTCTGGTTTCCATAGTCTAATACCTACTGAAATCTATCACCTAGCAGAACTTGTTTCAATTGATCTTTCTGGTAACCTGGGGCTTGAATTACTAGAACTCAGCCAACATGTTTTCAATAAGCAATTGCAGAATCTAACAAAACTAAGATATCTTCATCTTGATGGTGTGGATATGTCTTCAGTTGCTCCTGGCTCCTTGGTGAATGTCTTCAACTCTAATATCTCTTGTTATCGACAATACAGGCCTGCATGGAAACTTCCCAGAAGACGTTTTCCGCTTTCCATTCCTCCAAAAGTTCAATTTAACTAGAAATGTATTTCTAACAGGTACTTTACCAAAGTATAATTGGAGCTCTTCACTGAGATTCTTGGATCTCTCTGAGACAAATTTCTCAGGAAAGTTACCTGACACAATCGGCAACCTTATATACTTGAATGTTTTGAATTTCTCTGGTACAAGTTCCCCTGACACTCTTGGGGACTTGAATATGATAGATCTTTCTTTCAGCAAAATCAAAGGGTCGATTCCAACATCATTTTGGAACTGCACGACAATAACTTCTTTGGATTTGTCAGGCAACAAGTTTACAGGCGAAGTTGCAACGTCATTATCTAAACTCAGTCAGCTTAAAAGTTTAAATCTCAGTGGGAACAATTTTGAAGGAAAGTTCCCAGATGTGGCAATCTCAGCAAATTAACTGATCTAGATCTTTCATTGAACAATTTCAGTGGTCAGTTGTCGTCTTCAGCATTCAACCTCTCACAGCTTTCTGTTTTAGACTTTTCTGGAAATCAAGTTGAAGGTCATATTCCCTTTCAGGTAAGTGGTCTTTCAAATCTAATTTTAATAATTTTCTTGCTGGAAGAGTACCATCTTGGTTGTTTACTCTGCCATCTTTAGAGACATTAGACCTTAGCAATAACAAACTCATAGGTCCAATTGAGGAGTTCCATCTGCCTGGTTCAGTGAAAGATGATGAAATATGGAATGCTGAGGATATCTATGCTGGAATCAAGCAGTCATTGATTCTCAAATCATTTGATTGATCATTGTAATATTTTGTAATTAAGAGTTTATTGTATTTCCTTACAGTATTGTTTCCTTTCCTTTATTTTATTTAAATCCACTGTATAAATTGGCTGATGTACACATTACAAAATATATAATACTAATACAATTCTCTCTCTCTCTACTTGATATTCTCTGGTCTTCATTTCTGCCCTTTTATCAAGTCTTCTTGTAGGCATTCTTCAGCAGTCTTCTGCCTCTTTTGCCACCTTCGATCTCAAACTCTGACATGGTATTAGAGCCCAGGTTCAGTTGAGCTGAGCGCTTGACAATCGGGTGAGGAGTTAGAGCCAGCAACTACCTCCATCAATAGGCATGACCCTACATATGGGCTTGACCGTGAGGGGGAGTATTGGAATCCCACATTAACTAGGCATGCTCAAGCCTATTGGGTTATAAGAGGAGGTAATCCTCCATTGCTTCCGCTACAAAGCCATTGTTTCTCTAAACCTGCCAACCAAGGCAACAGAATTAGTTCTTCCAAACATCACAAATGGACCCAACCAAAATACCAATTGAACTAGAATCAACATCCACAGCCACAAGTGAAGGCCCACACAACCAAACTCCACCAGGCCCAAACACACACACTGGTCAAAATTCTCCACTAGAGCCTAACCAACAACCTTTTCAACCCGGCCCATACCCATGCAGGTTTATGGGTCAAAACCCTAACCCGACGAGTCAAAATCAATCCGAATCCAATTTTCAACCCGGCTCCTTCCTATTTGGGTTTATGGGTCAAAACCCTAACCCGACGGGTCAAAATCCCCACCCGATTTTCCAAATTCTTCCAGCCTCCACCAATCGACCAGAACTAGGGGATGACCTTTTCTCGCCGATTTTCGATGGATCTGAACTCGTGCTCGTCAAACAGTCGTTGGCCGGATCTCAAAATTATGCCACTTGGGCTAGAGATTTCTAGCGTGCTCTAGTAACCAAAAACAAGGAAGGGTTCATCGATGGAACCCTTCCCCAACCCATTGAACCGCATCTGATCCAGCACTGGATTCGATGCAACACCTTCGTTCGTGCCTGGATCAGCAACTCCCTGACCTAGGAGATTCCTGCCGGCTTGCCTCAGACAGAAAACGCTCATGAAATGTGGACGAACATCCGAGAGATGTACGGCCAACTCGATCTCGCAAAGATTTTTACTTTGCGTAAAAACCTTCTTGAAATCAAACAACACAATCTGCCAGTCACAGTTTATTTCAATCGCCTTTCAGCAATTTGGAACGAACTCGATGCTGTTGAAGAACCGATTGAAGGGCCATCCGCGATTCTTCACCAGATCAAACACCTGAAAGATCAAAACATGTTAATACAATTTTTAATTGGTTTAAATGACAATTTTTTAGCTTTTTGAACGCAGATGTTGGCTACATCCCCTGCGCCATCTCTCCGGCGCACCTACCAACTGGCCGTCCAAGACGAAAGCCAGAGATCGGCTTCGTCTGAAACCCAATCCAGTATTGAAGCAGCTAACTTCGCTGTCAATCCCCAATGGCGGCAGAGTGGCCACTCAGATATGAAAACTGGAAATGACAAGGGAAGGCTAGGGCAAACTGATGGTGAAAGTCACAATTTATATGGAGGATTTAACGGCCCAGATTTGACCTCCTCATCCTACGGCTCACACTCAACTGGGCTTAGTAATAATCGTTCGGGCTCAAACTTGGTTACCAGCCCAAATTCCAGAAATAGCCCAATTTTTGTAGTTGGCCCAAACTTAGGCAATAACCCAGTCCACTCCACAAATTTTAATTCCTCCCATGGGCCTTTCAAATCCAACAAAAATCGTTATTGCGATTTTTGCAAGAGGAGAAACCACGCAAGAGACACTTGTTGGAAACTACATAGCCGTAACCAAACTCAACGGTCTGGATCTGCCACTGCCAATCAAGCAAGTCACCCTGTTAATTATGAGAGTACCGCTACGGTCCCTATGTTTAGTCAAGAACAATATCGTTAGATCCTGCAACTGCTAAATCAAAGTCCGCAGCCCAATACCACATCATATGCAGGTACCTCCTTTTGTTCCAATATTACAAAAGAAAATTTTTGGATAATTGATTCAGGGGCCAATGACCACATTGTTTGCGATCCCAAACATTTTTCCAACACATTTCCCATTCCCTACACATCAATCCGCATGCCAAATGGTACACATGCACCAGCCACCAAATTAGGAACTATTCATTTAAATAAACATTTAATTCTTCATAATGTCTTGTTTGTTCCTGCTTTCCGTTTCAATCTCATCTCTGTTTCGAAACTTTGTCAAGATAATGTCTGTATCTTAAATTTTTTTCCTAACAGATGTGAATTTCAGGACTGTTTGACTGGGAAACTGATGGGCTCGGTTAAAGTTCACCAAGGCCTTTATTATTGGATAGGTGCTTCTGATTCAATGTCTTGTATTTTTGAAAATAAAAGCACTTTTAGTACAACCATTAATAAAACGTCCTTTATTTTGCATCAACGTCTAGGTCATAGTGCATTTATTCCACAACCCCACTGTCCTATTTGTCCCCTTGCAAAACAATCCTGCACAAAATTTCCCAAACACACGCCTTCCACCAACCGTAAATTTTCCTTAGTCCATATGGACATATGGGTCCATATCAGACCGTCAATCACGATGGCTCAAGATATTTTCTTACCATTGTAGATGATTACTCTCGAGGAACCTAGGCCTACCTCATGCACTTTAAAACCCAGACACTCACTCATATCAAACATTTTTTGTCCATGGTCAAAACCCAATTTGATGTTTCGGTACAATAAATCCGAACAGATAATGCTAGGGATTTTTTCAACACCCAATGTTCGGAAATTTTTTCCTCTCTTGGTATTATCCATGAAAGCTCTTGTGTCTATACCTCTCAACAGAATGGCATAGTTGAACGGAAACATCGACATCTTTTAGAGGTCGCCCATGCCCTTAAACACCAAGCCAACATCCCTACTACCCTTTGGGGCGAATGTGTGGTCACGGCCACCCACCTGATCAATAGGATGCCGAGTCAGACTCTAGATGGAAAGACACCTTATGAAGTTCTTTTTGGTAAACCACTTACAGTTGATCATCTCAGAGTATTTGGGTGTTTGTGTAATTCTACAAATTTAAGAGGGCATGATAAATTTTCTCCTTGGGCTATTCCATGTGTTTTTATGGGTTACCCAATGCATCAGAAAGGTTATCGCCTAAATGATATCACTATAGAGAAATTCCTGGTTTCTAGGGATGTGGTTTTTCATGAACATTCTTTTCCCTTTTTAGACAAGTCCCCCTCTGATGACTCCCAGCAGTCTCCCATTTTTTTTAGAAGATCCTTCAACAGCGGACTTATCTCGATCCTATTATACCATGCATCCCATTCCCGACATGGGACCCTCCAAGTCATCCTCCGAACCAGTTTCTAAAGAGCCGCAACTTCCTGGTCCTTTTCCTGATTCATCTTCAGAGAACCAGCTTCCTAATTCCCCTCCACTGGAAAATACTACTGTTGTTCCTGTTCCTCCTCAGAGATGTTCCACAAGTGTCATTCGCCCACCTGTTTGGACAGAAGATTATGTCTGTCCTACCATCCAAACTACCGTAGGTACTACTTACCCTACTTCCAACTATGTTACTTATGATCGCCTGTCCCCTGCCCACATGATTTGTATCAGTCAGATTTCTGCACACCAGGAACCTTCTTGCTACTCTAAAGTTGTTTCCCATTCACATTGGCGTCAGGCCATGGCCGATGAACTCAATGCCCTCTCTCAAAATCATACATGGGATCTTGTTCCTCGTCCTTCTCACAGGAAACCCATTGGTTGCAAATGGGTTTACAAGATCAAGCATTGTGTTGATGGATCCATTGAGCGTTACAAGGTTCGTCTCGTTGCTAAAGGTTTCACCCAGAGAGAAGGTTTTGATTATCAAGACACATTTTCTCCAATAGCCAAGCATGTCACTGTTCGGAAGTTCTTGGCCATTATTGCCATTCGTAATTGGTCCCTTCATCAAATGGATGTCCATAATGCCTTTCTCCACGAAGATCTTCATGAAGAAATCTATATGGACCTTCCTTCCGGACTTTGTAGATAGGGGAAGAATATGATAGGTCGTCTACGTACGTCCTTATATGGTCTGAAGCAAGCATCACGTCAATGGAATACAAAATTCACAGAGGCTCTGACTAACATGGGATTCATTCAATCCAAGCATGACTAGTCTCTCTTCACATGGCACAAAGGTACTACTGCCATTGCTCTTATTATTTATGTTGATGATATTTTGATCACTGGGAATAATGAGAGTGGCATTCGCACCCTAAAAGAGCATCTCAACAAACATTTCCGTATAAAAGATCTGGTGGAACCAAAATATTTCTTGGGCATTGAGATTGCACGATCTCCGGCAGGTATTTCTCTAAGTCAACGGAAATATGTTTTAGAACTTGTATCCGATTCTGGTCTATCAGCATGCAAACCCAGCATCATTCCTGTGGATCAAAACATCAAACTCACATCACAGCAATATGACCATGAGACAGCCTCTTCAGAGAATGATCCTCTGTTACAAGACCCATCTCCTTACCAGAGACTTGTAGGAAGACTTATCTATCTCACCATGACAAGGCCTGACATAAGCTATGCAGTCCATATACTAAGTCAGTTCATGCATCAACCCAAACAATCTCATATGGACGCAGCAGTCAAGGTGCTTAAATATTTAAAAGGATGTCCTGGATTAAGACTTCTCTTACCTCGAGATGGGAATTTCAACATCACAGCATACTGCGATTCAGATTAGGGTACTTGTCCTATGACTAGAAAGTCTCTTACAGGATTTTGCATTAAAATTGGAGGATCTCTTATATCATGGAAAACAAAAAGGCAATCAACAATATCACTTTCTTCAGCTGAAGCAGAATACAGAGCAATGACAAAAACAACTTGTGAGATTGACTAGATTCTTGGATTAGTCAAAGACTTGGGAGTAAAAACAAAAAAAACCAGTCACTCTATACTACGATAACAAAGCTACCAATGATACCGTGGCAAATCCAGTTTTCCACGAAAGAACCAAACATATAGAAATTGATTATCATTTCGTCAGGGACAAAATTCAGGAAGGGATTATCAGGACTAGGCACATACGAACATCAGAACAACCAGCAGACATATTCACGAAGCCTTTATGTAGTCGATAGCATTCTCATTTATTACACAAGCTTGGGGTTTTCGATATCTACAAACCACCAACTTGAGGGGGAGTGATGAAATATGGAATGCTGAGGATATCTATGCTGGAATCAAGCAAACATTGATTCTCAAATCATTTGATTGATCATTGTAATATTTTGTAATTAAGAGTTTATTGTATTTCCTTATTTTTTTTTTTCCTTTCCTTTATTGTATTCAAAGCCACTGTATAAATTGGCTGATGTACACATTACAAAATATATAATACAAATACAATTCTCCTTCTCTCTACTTGATATTCTCTGGTCTTCATTTCTGCCTTTTTATCAAGTCTTCTTGTAGGCATTCTTCGGCAGTCTTCTGCCTCTTTTGCCATCTTCGATCTCAAACTCTGACAAAACATGTTTCTTTGATGAATAACGAGATTCAAGGTTCAATTCCAAATTCCATGTTTGAACTCTTAAACCTTACAACCCTTGACCTTTCATCCAACAACTTGAGTGACAATGTGAATACAGACAAGTTGACTAAGCTCAAAAATTTCGTTGTCATTGACCTTTTTCTTGTTGCCATTGACCTTTCTCACAACACCTTACTATCATTTGTTAATCAGAAAAAGGAAACCTTTACGTTGCCCAGCCTTCAGAGCTTCAGTTGCTCTTCTTGCAACATAAATGAATTCCCTATTTTCTTAAGAACCTCAAAATCCTTGGAATTCTTAGACCTTTCAAACAATAGAATTCATGGCCAAATTACTCAATGGGACTTTGAATTGTTTCACAATTTGTTTTATTTGAATCTCTCTCACAATTTTCTTATGAGTTTCTTCCCTTTTGGAAAAACTTCAAATATGAATCTAGAGGTTCTTGACCTTCACTCCAACTTGCTCCAAGGCCCACTTGTGATTTTAGATGCACCAGTATATACACCTTATTAGTTTCCCATAACATGTTGACAAGAGAGATCTATTTGTCAATTTGCAACTTGAGCCTTATTGTTTATCTTGACCTATCTGCCAATAACTTGAGTGGAACAATTCCTCAATGTCTAGGAAACTTTGCTCGTCTTTCACTCTTGAACCTTGAAATGAACAATTTCCATGGTAACATCCCCTCAATATCTGCAGATAGCTCCATTCGATATATTAACCTTAACGACAATAATTTGGAGGGATCATTACCACCAACATTGGTTAACTGTAGTAATTTGGAAGTTCTAAATGTTGGGAACAACATGATAAATGATACTTTTCCTCATTGGTTAGCAAAGCTTCCAGATCTAAAAGTTCTAATATTGAGATCTAATAGATTTCATGGTTCCGTTGGAAAATCAAAGACAAGATTATCATTTCGTAAGCTATGAATAATTGACATCTCTCACAATCAGTTCACAGGTACTTTTCCAACAAGATTTTTTGAGAAATTTAATATGATGGGTGGGAAAAATTTTAAAGGTGAATTGGAATATCTGGTAGTGGAACTACCTACAATGGTTTGGACAAACCATTGGGAGTTTCCGAGTTATTATTTATACTATTCAATTGTTTTAACAATGAAAGGTGTTGATAGAGAAATAGACAGAATTCAAAACGTTTTCACACTGATGGATTTGTCAAACAACCAATTTGAAGGACAAATTCCAAAAGCTATTGGAAAGCTTAATTACCTCCAAGCCCTCAACTTTTCTCATAATAATCTTACAGGTCATATTCCACCATTATTGGAAAATTTGACACAACTTGAATCATTGGACTTCTCCTTCAACAACTTCATT